GATTTTGCTGCGTCCGATGTGAACGTAGCATAACTGCACAAAGATTGCCACTGTGCTAGCAACGAGAATGCTTTTAACTGGGGGGTGTAGCAGTTCTCGCCGTAAAGCAAGACTGACTCTCGCGAGACTTCTGAGCCTGTGGGTGCGGGTCGGTGCTCCTGCAATTGCAAGTGCAGTATTTCCCCCACAGACCACCAGGGCAGCCGAGAATACCTTTGTTCAACCTGAAATGAATAATTTAATCATCCATAACGTTATGGAACACATTAATTAACTGAAAAATGTTGCATAGTGTGCCTTTAAAAGAATAACCTTCCTTAATCTGCAGGAGTAAAAGAGACAAATGTAAGTAGGTTGCAGCTGTGTCCTCTCAAAGTGTTACCACAGTGATCAGTAGCAACATTAAATAGAAACAACTCTGATCCATTAGGTAGTGGAAACAGGGGGAGTCCTACTGTGTTTAAATCAGAATATTATTCAGAGTCAATCAGTGTTTTCTAAAGAAATAATCTAGGTCATTAAACGTATATGTCTATAGTTTAACCATTCTAATATAAATGACAGAAGCAGGCTAAAGTCAATAGACAGCAACATATCTGCCTTTGGGTTAGAGCCAAAGTTAGAGCTAGTCTTATTAATAAAAATCTTTTGTCTTCACTTCTAGCAACAAAGCTTCTAAGGACATAAAGTGAGGATAAAAACAAAAACCAATCAGTTTCATTCTGGATAGTTATAATTATAAGGATAACTGGGTCAGTTGTCCCAGTTGCATGCCATCGTTGACCTCAAAGATGATGAAAGCATAAAACAAGACATAAAAAGCCGAAGCAAAAGCCTTCACCTTTAGAAAGATAGAAAAACAGCTACAGATATGTTAACCTGGAAACCTTTGTTTTTATCTTATTTTAAGGTCAGTTACTAAAGTGCTTCCTGCCTGTTACATATCTGATCATCCTTTGTTCAACCTAAAATCGAATTATCACAGATTGAAGGATAACCTTCAGCTGCGGTCAAAGGGGTGACACTTTGTTACTTCAGTTTAGAGATTACTATTGATCCCTGTGTCATTTTAATCACTTCCCACCATAATCTTGCTATTTATCCCTCAGATGTAGATCCCTCGCTCTCTCAATAGATTTGGACTCCATTAGCCACTGTTAGCAAGACCAAAGCCATCAGCTGGCTTTAGTGGGATTTCTGTGACAAAGCAGTAAGGAATTCAATCACTGTAGATGGTTGTAATTAACATTGTGCATGAGGTATTTTTTAAGAACAAAATGTTTCTACAGATTTTTTTTTTTTTTTTATTGAAAGTTATCTTTATATACTAACATTTGAATGTTACTTTAATAATCTAAGCATGTTTTTGCCTTCACATTTTTCATTTAACTGCGTGGTAACGTAACTTTTTGGAAATAAATTGGGGACGGGTCACCTTTCCTTTCCTATGGTTGCTTGTGAGCAAATCGGTCTCTGTCTCTCCCCATTGACACATTTAAGTCTGTAATATTCTCAATGGAAACACTGGTTCTTGATATGACCAATATGGCCCAACTATTGCCTAGCCCATGGGCGTAGGTTTGCATAGGGACCATAGGGACATGTCCCTATCAGAATTTTGGACCGACCTACTTGTCCCTACCAATAATTGGATATGAACAACATGTTCATAATTTACAATCCAGCGTTGTTGCACTAGTTTCTTCTTTTCCTCTCGCAGCTCCTCTGTCAGGTAGCTGCAGCTGCCTGGTCTTTCCTGTCCCTTTCACATAGCGGCGCATCAACTGTGCTGCACTGTTTAACTCCACTCTCTGATTTTTCTGCCTTAAGTTCCACCTTCTCTCTTTCTGATTTCTTTTTTTTTATAGTCTGTATGTGTGCGCACATGCTTGGAGCACGAAATAAAAAAAAAAAATACGCAAGAATATGGCTGTTACCAAAATTAATATGAGGCTATGAAACTAGTCCAATTAAAAAAATTAGATAATATCTACACTAAAACAGGTGAAAGCTTCTGATTGCAGTTCTGTAAAGAAGCAGGAGAGAGTTTTGATTTGTGGAATTTGAGAGATATAAGTTACCAATGTTAGGATTTCTTTTATAAAATTAAATATTCTGAGTCAGACAGGAGTTCTGAAAACTGCTGTTAAAATGGAAAAGCAAAGACTGTAAGCTATAGACATTTCTGATTCCCTTTCAGCAATATTTCTTTGCCATCACTGTTTTCATTTTTGACGGCAGTTCAGGTATAATTAACAGGTGTTATTTCTTTTGTAGAATATAACATGAGAAGGATGCTAAAGATCCTTTTCCACATAAAAATCGTGCTATTTAATGGATTCTACTAGAAGTAGGATAAAGACAAACAGAGGAACTCTATTTACATTGATTCTATTTTTCTAGATTTCCACACGGTCCATAAGTAAATTAGTACAAACATTAATGTCTGGTAAAAATGTTTGAATCTTGCTGTTAATTTTGGTTGCTATTACATTACAGATAAGATAGTGTTATATTGTCTTTTATAATTGTTAAAAGTGATTTTATATTTGAATAAACTTAGTCTCATTCTTAGCGTTGTGTTTGTAGATGATGCCACTAAAAAAGAAAATAGACATAAGGAGCTATTTAAACAGTCAGACAGTAAGCAATGTAGGATGATGATAAAATGTTGTGTTACATTTAATCCTTTACTATTAAAAACCCACTTGTATAATAGAAACATTATATGATTGTAGGAAACCCAGATATAATTATGCTGGGCAGCCTCAAGGTGAAGCAGCTGCCCTTCAGTGCTGCATTATGGATGAAATGTGCTTGAAATGTTACCATAAAATTAGGGCTGCCACTAATGATAATTTTGCTAATTTATTGATCTGTTGATTATTTTTTTCATTGAATCGATTACTAATCAGATCAGCCAAAGGTTCCTTAAAGAAGATTTTTTACGAAATTAAACCAGGTGATACAAACATTTCCTTTTGAGGAGTTCTGGATGGAGAATATTGACAGACAGAAACTTTTTTTTTTATCTTAAATGCAAAATGTTTACATATTTTTTACAATCTTGGTATAATTCCTGCTCTAAGTGGGTCGCTCTGTTGGCTAAAGGCACATTTTAGTGGCCCTATACTCCAGTTAACAATTATTCAATTATTAATTAGTTGACGATTATTTAAAAAAATCCATTATTATAATTAATTGTTTCAGCTGTTCCTTTTTAAACAAATTTGTCCTGATGCTCACATTAAGCTTAAAAAGAGCATGTATATTTTTGCATAGGACCAATGAGATCAGACCAATGAAACTGAAGACCAATAGTGTTCCTTCCAAAGTGGAAATCAAACCTACGCCCTTGGCCTAGCCGCTCAGGGCACCTTTATGTTATCTGACAGTCATGCCCTGAACAAGTTTTCTATTGTTTGTTTGCATATTAAATCAGTGAGGAGTGTGCATTTTGAAAGTACAGCAATAAATAAAGCCAAACACTTGATGTTGAAAATTATGTCGAAGAAAGCATTTGATGCAAAGCTCCTGCCTGAGCACTAAATTAGAAAGCAATGTAATTTCTGTAAGAATCTGAAATGCGTTTCATAATCCTTACTGTTACATTTTATATAAATCTGCAGTTAACGTCCAGTAAAGACTCTCCTCTACAAACAATATTTGTTTGTACCGTATGACTGCTCTCACAGTGAGTTCCTGCTGATCCATAGGAAGTTGTTTAAACTGTAAGAAGGGGCTATTTCCACATTCACTTTCCCTACAACAGTAAAAGAAGCCCAGCGCTGTAATCTGAGAAATCCTCTCTTTATGGTTAAGATTAAATACGCTGGTGAAGATTCTCAGTCATTCAGGTCATAATAAACGATAGGTCTGCTGAGGGGCTCATATAAATTCAAGGTGCTACTTTTTACCTCCTATTTCTTCTTTACCTACCTCTAGTTTGTGTTTACGACTTATTTCTTCAGCCATTCTTTCCTTTAGTGTACCTTAAAGCTCCCTGTTTATCTTTTAAACTGCACTGAGCTTTGTTATGTTAGGTGTTTCTACTTTTAAAAACATCCTGCCTAGGTACAGATTCTAGGTACTGAGCTCTGTTATGTTCATTGTTTACCAACTACCAGATCCTCATCTTCAAAACACATTTAAATTTGTTTTCGATTTATGCAGTTGCTTAAATACACTGATTAAACGTAATCTGACTTCAAAGATAAATATATTGTTTTCATGGCTAAATTGGACATTTTCTCAGCGCAGGGTGCAGTGTGCCTGTTTACTCTGTGTTTCCTTTTAAATATATTGTTACAACTTTTACATAAAGGAACAGGTTGAGGTTAGTCAAGTGGAAAATCCTTTTCTATTTCTTATCACACCACTCTGAATCTGAGCTTTATGATAAGACAATGGCCCTAAAAAACCCTGCTGTAATTTAAGATAGCACAAGGAAGCAAAGAGGAGAAAAAAATAGCAGTTAATGGCACCAAAACTGGATTCCAATATTTTATCCAGCACAATTAAAAACCTCCAATGCAATATTAGGTATGCTTAATATCCTCAGAAAAAGCTGGATATCTGTCACCTGTGACATTTGTAACACTCTTCTGAGGCATCAAGGTTAATTGGAATGTGGCGTTCAGAGACAACATGGTTATGCTAAAGCTGGTTTCATGTCCCCATTATCAGTGGAATCAATCATGGCTTAGTCCCCTGAGGTCAGCAGCCATACATAGCAATTACCAGCATGTGAGACTGAATCAAGGGAACTAAATATCAAACACAATGTTTAGGTTTAATAATCTAGATGTACACATTTAAACTGCAGAATAATGCTGAGTTTTATACATTTGTTTCCTTCCATTCAAATGATTGCTATTGAAATAAATGGTGTGTTTATTCTATAATAAACCGGACATGTATAATGTCTCACTGGATCATGAATCTGGATTACATCTCAAATAATAATATTTGTACAATGATACAAGCTGACAGCTGCAAACCTGATGGCAGTTCTCTCTGTGGCATCTGGTTCATCTGAAGCTGGAAGCTCATCGGCCAGAATCTCCTCGGGACTCCGCGGGTCATTCAGGGGAACCTTCTGCTCTTTGCTTTTGATCCCCATTCCTGCAGTGATGGCATTCCACAAAGCACTCTGGGATTTAGAGCCTGCAGAAAGAGAGAGAAATACCTGCATAAAAAGTGACATAACATTTTTTTATATTAATTTACAGACTAGCTGGTCTATACCAGTTTTAAAAGTATAGCTATTACTTATGTTGTGTCTACAGGAATGAGGCCAGTTTCTTGCATGAAACAGATATAATTCCTTTGCAATGCTGCCCTCATGTGGATTTACATTGTCAGTGGTAGTACCTTTGAACTTCACTAACAGTAAAAAAAAAATTCAGTAATGACATACAGTATGTGTTTTGAAATTCCCATCAGAGATCTGCTGGTAACAATCCAATGAATCTACACTTTCAAAGAGATCAGAACAAATTATGACATGACTTGAACTTATGTGTAATAATCTTGAATGGACAAACTAGCTGACATTTAGTGGTTTAAAAGCAAAAAAATAAAAAATAAAAACCTTTGCTGGTTATGTAATCTCTTGTAGATAAAGAAGATGGAAGATGTGATATCCTCACAAATTGTGTGCTTGAGGCCTCTCCTATGAACTCTGGTCTTTAGTTCTCATTACATATTTTGAAGTCTTTAAAGTAGTTTATTTTGTCTCTAAAGCCAATTAAATGCATTCTTGACTATATGTGAGTGATATTGTTGATAGAAAATCATCTGTTGTGTTTTGCTTAGTTTCAAGAAGACCTTAGTAAGTTTTTTAAACTTACTAAGGTCATGGCAAAATAAAACACTTAAACTCCAGTCTTTCTAAAGCGTTTTGTGAATGGTATTTTCTTCTAGGACAAGATTTTGATGATTCTTTTAACTCATCAGAAATCTTGCAAGAAGAACCAAGCAATGGTTGGTTAAATATCAGACTAAATTATTAGCAATTCAAAATTATGGCTCCAAAGTTGCTCACTTCAACATTCAGAATTTTGGCAATGTCTGAATCCATCGACATGGTTTTGAGAAATAAGCGTATTAATGTCTTCAGATGGCTCTTTGATTTTAGTCTGTTAGATGCCGCTGATCCATGTCGTGTGCCATCAGATAGGATTTAACCAGACAAAATAAAATGGTTGCATCCATAAATTTACAATTTCTATGATTTATACAGCTTCTTTTTTTTTGCCTCTAGTACTAATTTCCAGTTTGAACCCACTTCAATTTCATGTCAAGAGCCTGATTCTTCATTTAGAAGAACTCCTATTTTCCCTACATGTGCATGCAAGGTACATGCAGTACCTTTAAAAACCTGGAACTACAACAATCTTTCAGTTTCTGTAAATCTATTCCATACTATGCAACATTTTCTTGTCAGTGGAAAGGGTTTTAAAGCCCTTTTAAGAGTTTCTGTTAGATGTCCTCTAATCTAACTGTTAATGAGGTGGCCATAAATCAGTACCACTACTATCACATTCAAGCTGTGTAAAATGACTCTTTAATGGTTTGACCTGAATGGTGAATTGACTCAGAATTAATTATTTCAGAGAATTTACTAAAATGAAAGAAAAACGATGATAGTACACATTAAACTTACGGGCAAAACTTGGTGGGGGTCTGCTGGAGCTCTCTCCATCTTCATTTGCCACTGGTGAAAAAAAAATATGCGAGAAAAGTCAAATGAAGACTGCATTAAGAAATAATCTCACCATAAATTCACTAGATATCTACATATGGCTTTTAATGCTTCCAGGGTAAGTATTCTACTTTTTTATTTCTATTTTTGTCACAGTTCATAAATTTAAGCCAAGTTAAATTCATAACTACAAAGAATAATCTGAAAAAAGAAATCTATAATCATATCAGTGACCGACAAAAAAATGGAGGATGAATTCAACTTTTATACATTTACCTTAACCGCTGATGATGATAGTAGTTATGCATATTAACCTTTGGAATTATTTTTTTTATGTCATTAGCTCTAATTATTAGCAAAACATTATTTGATGGGTTGCTTAGTTAAAAAAACATGTTGGCCCCGTTAGGTCATGGTATTATTTCATATATACATTTTCATCTCAGTATAATAGAATATGCATCCCTCTAAAGCTTTTTTAGCAGATTAAAGATGCAAAAAAGAAAAGCTTTAGTTAAGTAGATAAAGTGTTTCCTTAGGCTCTAAAATCTACATTAAAAATTTTCTTTTTTCTTTATCTGCCAATTATAATATTCTGTTGGTTTAAGAAAATACCATTTTTATTAGCTTTAAGGAGGAAATAATATACCATATTTCCCCACAAAGTTTTTATTTTTTAAACTGGAAACATACATATTTAAGCCCGACCAGGCTATAAGTTGCTACTGAATCGTCCCCTACCAAACCTGAAAGAGGATCTCTACATATCGCCCCTAGATTGGGGACAAAGAAGAATGCTGGTTTCTGCTGGCTTGTTGGCTGACGGCAATAAGAGCTTATAATGAAAGATGGGGCTTTGTCAGCACTTTATTTCAGCTCTGCAGTAGTTTCTCACAGTCTCTTCATTGGTTCAACAGCTTCAAAAAGTAATATCAAAATGTGTGAATTTGCAACATTTGTTCTCCGTTGTGCCCGCTGCTAGCATGAGCTTGAACTGAATAGAAATGAAAGCATTCTTCTTTGATTTCCAACTTTGACTTCCGACCCCTGGTGGTTGAAGAGAAGTCGACAGAAAAGGTGCACCTTTGTATAAGCCTTGTGGTTCAAAGCGAGGGAAGAAAGTAGCGGCTTATAGTCTGGAAAATACAGTAATTAAGTATGTTGTTTGTTTAAAGGTATGGTGGAGGGTGTTCTTTTTCCGAGTGGATCATCAAAATAATTTGTCCTCCTAATTGTCAATCATTCTGGTAATATGTTTACATTAGGCCGTCCTACCTGCTCGTCCCCATTTTCACTTACTGGTGGTGAGTCTGACATAGTGGAAAAATTGCAAATCTTTTTTTGGAAATAAGCTTGTATGAGCGATGCACATATCATAAGTCAGTAAAGGCTTATTGAAAAGAAACCCTGCAGCCTTTCAGAGGAGTGAAAAAAAAAATCCTAAATTATAAAGGAATCATTTAGCCCAGGAAAAATAAAATAAATGTAGTGATTTAAAGTGCAGGACTTTCAATAAAAAAGTAAGTAAGAAAGCAAGGAGCAAAAATAGATATGACTCTGATCAGACATATTTATGGTTTTCTGATGTGAGATTTAATCCAGAGGGATGCATGCATCCTTATCTATACAAGAAACGGCATGACTTCCAAAGTGGTCTTCTATTCAATTCCGAAACACCAGTGAAGACTGTTTAATTATGCAATGGTGCATTTTTTTGCCAGTAGCATTCAGGGTACCACACCTGAAAGTTAAATGTCGAAAGCCCATTATGACAAGTTACACAGTGTGGCTTTAAGCAAATAAATATGCTTCACCATGAACTCAATTTTTGAAATTTGCTGCCCTACATAATGATAGGGAAGATCTATCCAGCAGTGATTCAGCAACCACTCTCAGGTACATTAAGAGCAGTAAGCAAGGTTTTAGACCTGTAGTAATTTACCTTTTACAGATATTCACATCACAGCATGCCTCACAAAAGAAAAAAAACTATTTTAAAACACATAAACTCAAAACATGTCTATCTAAATCACAATTTCTTAACATGTTTCTAACCAGATAACTGTCATTTCCTGTCCATGGGAAGTATGAGATACCCCCCACCAACCACCCCTTCCTCCCACACACAAGACAAATACTGCTGGATCATTGCTGTCGCTCATTGTGCAACACCTTAACTCATAATCTATATATAATGGTTGTGAAGGGTCAAAAACATCACAGAGCCAAACCATGAGCTGAAAGATAGCCAATGGCATCCTTCACAAGAGGGTTTGCTTAAGAGGCTGGATATAACAAGAAAACAGCGTACAATAATATTCACAGAAAGTCGAGTTCAGTGTGATGTAACGAAACTGGATTACTCAACACTAAGCAATTACAGTGGTTTAATGGGTAGTGAAAGATATCTGTAGTTTCTAGAGGATTGTAAAGCAAAGAATTTATGATTTGAAGGTTAAGGACAGTGGTTGCTATGGGTGCTTCAATGGGCGTCAGAGACAAACTGTTCCAGGAGATGGGCTAAAAATGCTGCTTCATAGTGTTAAAAAAACACCTCAACCAAAGATTAATTTTATCAAATATTTCCCAAATCTTTCCTTTTTTCAGTAAACTGTGTTTTTGTGATATTACCAGAAGACTATGTGAAAATCAACTAATTTCCCAAAACAATCAGGGTTATAAGGCTGGATTTAACTCTACTATTTGTTAAATCTATTTCTATTTTGCAACATAAGTTTCCTTTTCAATATTTACTTGCTGTTTTTCCAACATAATGATAAAAACAATTGATCTTTATTGATCTCTCATTGGAGAAATTTACCTCTGCATTCATCCCTTTCGGAAGCAATGGGCTGCCATTTTGTGGCAACTAGGGAGCAATCGGGGTTTAGGGGTCTGGCTCAGAGACCCAGAGTGGAGGCTGTGGGGAACGACCCGGGTACTTGCAACCTTCTCAGAGCACAAGCACACTGCTCTAACCCACTAGGTCAACACTCCCCTTATGATGCGTAAAAACAAAAACTGATCAAGACACCATAAATAAGTGTATATTACTTATAAAACATTAATGTGACTGCTCTTTAAGCAGTATTTATATAAATATTAATGGGTGTGAAAGAGTTAAATGGCATCACACTGATTACTGATGCACATCTCATTTGTGTTTAAATGTCTAAAATACCTTAAAGATGAAATGACATTTAATATTTAGCATCATCCATATGTATTAATTTAGATAAAAGTCATGTTGTGTTGCATTCTGGGTAATGACCTCTATAGTGATGTATGGTACTGCAATGTAACTGGGGGTTGTGAGAATAAGCTTCACTTTATATTGCAGACTGATTGGGAAAGAGCTCTTATGGATTTTAGAAAGGTCCATTCCTGCTACATGATGCTGTCCTCGTCAGTTGTTAGCTGATCAGGTGCTCTTTCTCCAGAGTGCGCTAGATTCCAACATATTGTTTTGGAACTTCCACTGAAAAATGAACATTGATATAATTCAGCCATATCTAATTTACACAGAGCTGGGAGTGTATGGCTGATGCGTGTTTCCTAACCAAAAAACAAAACAAAAAAAAAAACAGGTGAAAATATTTCCACAGCTAAGGTTTTCTGGGTAGCTAACAGTCTTTAAAGTTTTCTGCCTCATCCTTTCAGAATAATCCCAACAGGTTCACAATACCATCAGAAAACCGTGTGTTCCGCTCCCCACCTTCCCTGTTCCCATTCATAACGGAAAAATACAAAACAGTAAGAAAGTCTCACTTAAAGCTGCAAGATCCTGTATTCAATTTGACCCCACCACAAAAAAAACATGACTGTGCAAATAATCGTGCAAATTATTATACTGCAACATATTAATATTTTTAGATGCAATGAAATTATGAAACTCTTTCTCAATAATTATTCATCTTTAATCTAATCTACTGTCCCTACTGTATGTTTCATGTTTAGTTTATTTAATTGTTTGGTTTCTCACAGAGCAAATCAGGCTTGGTTAGGCTTGGTTTTAGTAAAGTTTCATGAAAGGGCAATTTTATTTTACCTTTAATGTCTTAATAGAGAGTGACTCAATATAGAAATAAAAGATTTTCTCATCTTTAACACATACTTTTGAAAATGATTCAACTGCTGGAGTTCTTCGAGGATTAAACAATCAAAAATAAAGCAGGAATAAATCATGGACAACATCCTTAGTGCCTCAGAGCTTTGTCCTTCACGCTGTCACCATTGCTAGGCAACAGAAGTTATGTAGAGGTAAGGGCAGGGACTAACCTTGGCTGCAAGCTTCATTCTCCCAGTATCTGTGCATTCACAAGTATGTGATAAAATATGTAGATCTAAACCTAGAGTGCTACAAATAACCAAACTAGTTTGCCACATTGAGCAGAAACAGCCAGTGAATGTTTTCTTATTACCACCACCCGCTGGACTGGAGGTGTTATTCACAAATTTACCATATGTCAGTAAGGGCTTATTAAAAAGAAACTCTGCGGCCTTTCTGAAGAGTGAAAAAAATCCTAAATTATAAAGGAATCATTTATCCCAAGTAAAATAAAATAAATGTAGTTTTATAAAGTGCATGACTTTCATAATGGTCATATCTCTGTTGCTGAGCCTCACAGCACATACACTATATTGCCAAAAGTATTTGCTCACCCATCCAAATTATTGGAATCAGGTGTTCCAATCACTTCCATGGCCACAGGTGTATAAATTCAAGCACCTAGGCATGCAGACCGTTTTTACAAACATTTGTGAAAGAATGGGTCGCTCTCAGGAGCTCAGTGAATTCCAGCGTGGAACTGTGATAGGATGCCACCTGTGCAACAAATCCAGTCGTGAAATTTCCTCGCTCCTAAATATTCCACAGTCAACTGTCAGCTGTATTATAAGAAAATGGAAGTGTTTGGGAACGACAGCAACTCAGCCACGAAGTGGTAGGCCACGTAAACTGACGGAGCGGGGTCAGCGGATGCTGACGCGCATAGTGCGAAGAGGTCGCCAAC